AGAATTTATAACATTGTTTAGTGCCTGTAAAACTCATATTTCTTCTATATCATCCATACTAAATAAAATAAACCAAAATAAAGAGGCACCTAAACGTCCAATAAAAGAGTTCACGGTACAAAAAGTTTCATTTTTATATTCTAATAAAATGTTCAATAGAGTCAAATTAAAAATAAATATTTCCCAATAATAAATCACAAAACAAAACCAATAGATAGAAACACGAATCACATATGATAAAGCAGGATTAATTGACAATTATAACCACAAAGCACATAGAGGTTCCACGTGAATGACCAAGGTCAAAACCGACAACTGACATTTTTTATGCTATTTGCTCCAAACTCTAGATGGGGCTACTGGTGAAATTATGATTTCTTATTACTCCATTTTTAAGCCTTATGGGAGAAAAACTTAACCAAAGACTCCAAAGATGTGACGTGTATTTATTTATGTTCTTGGTTAGTTTCATTTTTCCGTCTGATTTTAGTGATTTTTTGTTGGCTTTGGCTTTTGGTTTCTGTTTATAGTTTCGTCTTAGTTATTTGCAAAATTGTGATGTTTCGCTTTTTTATTTCCTACTGTGTTTTGCAATAATTTTGGTGCTACGTTGAAAACTTCGAGAAAAACTTCATTGATTCACCATGCATCTGCATCATAAAAAGACAAACGGGGACAACAACTAATTGATAATCAATTTATCACTGGGCTAGATTCCGAAATCTGTATCACCATCTGTATTTGGAAGGAAAATACCTATTTATCATTGAATGAATAGTTAAAAGGATTCACCTTTTAATACAATACCTATATTACATTTGTCCTCAGTTAAAAAGACATTTATAAAATATATAACTTTAGTGTTAATAAAATGTAATATCCTAGTCTTTACTTCACATTTACATTATTGATAGGTATTTTAAAGATTTGAGATTATATATCTATTTGCTCCAAGTAAGTATTCGTTAAATATGTATTATTATTTGTATTTATTTTTATCTAATAATATTTATTTAATTTATTAATAAACATATTTTAAGAATGTTCTATTTTATTATTTATTGATATATCTTATATTTATTTAATAAAAATATGCAGAACCAACTCTCCACATTAGACCCCTTATAACAAATTAATTCTTCAAATTTGGTATAATCGACCTAAATTATTTTGTAAAATAAAAGTTTCGAACCTACTAGTTCCATACTTTATTTTATAAAATAATTTATGTGGAAATCATTTAAAATTTAATTTAAAACTACTACCTACTCCTAAAAATTACAATTTGAATTTACCGCCATCTGTCAATTGTCATTTTAGTTCCAGCTCCAAACACAAGGTGGCGCTAATTTGGTTTAAAAGTTTAACATTGGCGTGGGGTCTCTAGAAGATACATGCTTTGTGATTATAACCTTACTTTCACCTAAACGAATGCGACAAAGTGGTTATCGAACGGTCATGAGCGCTCTTTGAAAATCACCATTTCTTAGCGCATACGTTAATAAATTTGACGAATGCCGCCAGTTCAGGAATACACTTTCATCAAGTCGCATGCGATAACGTAATTTCACCAGTAGCCCCATCTAGAGTTTGGAGCAAATAGCATAATAAATATCAGTTGTCGGTTTTGACCTTGGTCATTCACGTGGATTCCACAGTTGTGTTAAACGAAGTTTAAAATAACATTTTTATCTCATTTTAATATCCGTTTAACACAACGGTGGAATCGACCCATAGCCATCCATTTAATATCAAGGTCGGTGGTTGATATCCACTCAGCCTAACTAGGCCTTTTCATCATGTGGTGAGCGCAAGCGCAGCCGACATGTTGAAGTAGCGATAATTCAAAAATTTCGTACTGTTTTAATTAATAATGGCTGGAACGCTATTATCTCTACAGACAAATCAATCTTTAGAAAAAATCGTTGATGGTGATTCACTTTTTTATAACTATATGTGGAAGCTCATAGTTGTGAGCAATTGAAAAGGTACTTTATGTCTTCTACCTGATTTGTTAGAGTTTCAATTTCTGCAATATATGATGCCATTTTCATTTCCTTATTCATTCAGAAATCATAAAAGTTTTGATAATATTCTTTAATACCTGTTTTCTGTTCATTGATAAATATTAGCTTCTACCACATGTCAGCTGTGGTAATAGTTTACCAAGTGAGTGCTCTTCACAAATGCTATTGAGGAAGAATACCATAGCTTGATTATTCTTTTTGTCCCATGTTACTATTTCAGTAGTTCCATCTCGTGGTTTGATCTCTTCGCTACTGACTTCAAAGCTATGGTGGCACTAAATTTTCACAGCTGACAATTATGGCCATTGAATTTAATAATATTCATAATTTCTACCTTATTATCAGCCATTAGTAAAAATGTTCCTTACTAAATTGTCAACGTCAGTCAAAAAAAATTAAGTTAATTTTCTCTTGTGATGAATACCAGGCAAAATGTCAATTCCAGGTCACAGCATCGGCAGTACCTTTTAAATTGTGAACGCTGGGCCCATAACCTATTAGGATTATATTGAAAACTGTAAAATCAATAAATTAGCAGACGTAATTTCCGACTTTTTGGTTTATTTCAAAATTACAAAAACAAATGGTTCATATAAACATAGGTCCGAAAACGTTTCGTTTTCGAAATACAGGGTGTTACAAGTGAAATCCTGATGGCACATTTTTGTAAATATTTTCTAAAAATTTTTAGTTACCGGTTTTCCAAAGTTAAAAAAAAATAAAATTTCTGATTCCACAGGCATACTAATTATTGTTTACACTTTCGAATAACATAACATCACCTTATCATAAAATTTTCAAATGCTTTTCTCTTGAAAATGGTGAGGCCTAGCGATATGCAATAAAAGTAGCTTTATTAAAAAGAAAATATTGGTTTTCCAATTTTTTTTAGTCAAAAATGTTAAAAACAGTCAACAAAAAAAACTTAATACAATTTAATCCTAAGCCCCTCCCCTAATTTACCCACTTCTATACTTTAGATGTTTCTACAGCAGATGCAGTCGATTCTTCAGTGTATTTTCCTTTGTCTTTGCCCAAAACCAGCCAAACGACCCTCTGCGGTCAATAATCTTCTTCCTAGCTTTGTCCAGTTTCAACTCAACAACCTGTAACAATAGAAAATATTGATTAATTGTTGCTTTTATTGCATTTACAGTAAATTGAGTTTTTATTAATTTTCAGTGCCAAAGGTTTCACCAAAATGCAGCTATAACAAAACAGTGATGCAAATTTTTTGAAAGAACTTCAAAAACAGCTTCACTATTAAGTTTTGAGACTGCAGTCTACGAATGGTTTGATTCATCATTAAAAAAATAAAGTGAGCATTACATTGGGTCATAAGAAATAAAATTAATGTGATCTCATTATTATACTAATTGTGCAAAATTTTAAAATTTCCGTGATTTACTTTCTATAATGACGAGAAAATACTACCAATATAAGCTACTTCTGATCATTGTTATGTAACGTTCCTTTCTAATTCCGAAATATTAACAACATTAAACAATAATTTCCGTATTTCACAAGTTGTTTTTGGAATTTTAAATAAATAATTTCGCTTTTGCGCAGTTTTACGATGGAATTGCCTATTTCATCGCGTTTTGGAACGATCAGAGGCCTTTTTGATTTGAGACGTGATATTGAGTTATCTTGTGTTTTGTCGGCGACTAAAGGTAATTTCGATATTTAGAATTGCTTGATAAGTGACTTTGCAGGTTTAACATCTCGCTTGTAGATTATTACGTGTTTCATGAATTGTTTTTAGTTTTGTTATTTTTGAGATTTGTTTCCGAATTTTAAAAACTTATTTTCAGATAATTCTGACCTTTCGGATTTCGATATGTTAAATTAACAATTTTCATACTCAGATTTACGCTTCCTAGAATACATTGAAAACTTAATTCACGCAGACGAAGAATGAGCTCAGTATATATTTAAATGCATTTCTCATTACACCGATGCTGCATTGAAGGTATTTGTGGATTTAAGAAGAAACCTGAACGTTGTCTGGCTAGAACTACCATCTAAAATTTCCGATAGAAATCTCGACAGTCAATGTCTTGATAGCCTCATGGTAAAGGCACGTCCTCAAAACGTGATGATGTTAGTCCAAGAGCTAGTATCACACATTCCATTAAGTGTTTGATGCACTTTGAAATTTTGTAATTTGAAATCATTGGGATGGAAAAGCAGATATACCTGTGTTGGCTAGACCCACCCCGGGACACCAGGTACTGCGCATAATAGAAAAGGGTCGTAACATATGACCCAAAAAAAAGTGTTTGATTCAGAGGCCAACAAACAACAATTGAAAGTTTAGGTAATTCTAAAAATACTAGTAATTTAGGCAGACACTTTTGAGAGGGTTTATAATTAATAAATCAACCCCAAAGTTGATTTTTTTTTTAAATATGATTTGAAGTGTTTGATTCACGCTGAAATTTTAATAGCGTCTTAATTAAATATAAAAAAATTAATTCCAAAAAGGCAGACACTTTTTCGGGTTTAATTGCCGGCCAACATAAAAAGTGTCTGCTTTTTGAAATTAATTTTTTTTATATTTAATTAAGACGCTATTAAAATTTCAGCGTGATTTAAACACTTTAAATCATATTTAAAAAAAATCAACTTTGGGGTCGACTTATAAATTATAAACCCTCTCAAAAGTGTCTGCCTAAATTAGTAGTATTTTTAGAATTACCTAAACTTTCAATTGTTGTTAGTTGGCCTCTGAATCAAACACTTTTTTTGGGTCATATTTTACGACCCTTTTCTATTATGCGCAGTACCTGGTGTCCCGGGGGCATATTCAGATGTAACGGTTGAGATATCCAGTCGACTTATGCCGAATATCGCTTCATATGTGACGTGCACGATAGCACTCAATCGGATATCTAGACTGTTACATATCAAGCATTTTTGCTGTAACATCTTAACCAATGTGTGGATGTTTCGTTTATGATTGTTGCTAAAATGGATGTAAGTGAATTGATGAAAAGTGTTAAGTTTCAGTTCAAGATTAATTAAACAATCCTTCTATTGGATAAGTGCAAAGAATAAAGAAGAAATTGAGGTATGTTAGAACTCAATAATATATGTTTATTTGATGATCAAAAGTTTAATTGTATAAACCTATTGTTTTGGCGCGTAAGTCATTAGTTTACTATGTGAGGTTATAAAACATGCATTAATTCCTCCAATTCAGAGATGCGCTAGGGGCGTTCATGTTAAAAAATGGTATATAAATGAGTAAAAAATTATTAAAAAGAATTAAATGATATTTTGATATAAGAAAAGTTTGAGTCCATGATAAAAAGTAAGTTGTTTATAAAAAAAAATTTGACCACCTTATCTTATTAATTTTTCCAAAAATGCGAAATTCAGTGGCTTACTTAATGAAATTACAAATAAAAGCACATCTTTTAGGAGTAACATGCCTATTAATATTTAAGTTACCGTATACCGTTTAATATATTTGCAACAATACAGAGGATACCACATAATATTACAGGGGGGCACATAGTACAGTGGCGTAGAATATTAATTAAAATGCAATAAGTATTTCCGTGTTGATTAAAACTAAAAGATGGTGATATTAATTTAAATTAATAAAAATGCAGTACAGTTTTTACTTGAGAAGTCAACACTGATTAAAAATAGTACACATAGAAAATGTTTGATTTTTGTTTCAGAAACTTTTAGAAGAATTACAAACTATCAGTAAAGTAACAGGGTCAATAGAAAAGACAATTCAAAAGAAAAACGCAAGAAACAATCTGTTTAAGCAAATTTATTATTGTCACTTCAATACAAGACGAAGAAAAACTACCAAGGATTTAAAGAAAAAAAGCTCAAGAAACATCAATTGTCCAGCAAAATTAATTTTAACTTTAAAGAAAATCATTCCTATGTCCAAGTCTAAAGCCAACAATTCATTGAATAAAATCGACAAAGAATATCCTTGTTTATTAGAATTTCGGAACTATCACAATCATAGATCCGATGTGCGAGAAGCTCTACGTACCAGACCTTTGGGTGAAGATACAAAAAATGCTATACTTGAGTTATTTCAAAGAGGGCATTCTGTAGCATCCGCTTATCACACGTATTGTACCACGAAAATGGAAGAATTGGGTGATTAGTATAGCGATAAAATAAGCGATCGTCATTATTTCCTGACAAAAACCGATGTGCGAACACTCTGGACTAGTAACTTCAGATAGCAATATGGCGAGCGCAGTGGTCAAGAAATGTTAAAGAAGTTGGAAGATGTGTTAATGTCGGAAAATTAAAGAAATGGGACATTGTTCAAAGTGTGTACTCTCGGCGAAAACCATTCCATTGAAATAAATACCCCCATAATGCAAAGAGCTTTAAAATTACCTCAAGCGTCGGAAATCATATTTGTAGACGCAACAGGAAATTGTGATGTTCAGGATCACAAAGTTTATTTTTTTGTCACACAGTCTCCTGTTGGAGGTTTACCGATTGGGTGTATTATAAGTAGTAGTCAAAAAAAATAAATATTTCAAGAAGCTGTACAAGCTCTGCTATACATTGAGCATCATAAGTCTTACCCCCCCTAACTAACTCGTTACTGGGGTCTTGTTAGGAAAATCGCCGAGACAGGTCGATTTTTGATTTCTACCATGTACATTTTTGCATGATTAGTTTACCCTTAATTTCATCCCTTACTGGAGGGTAGAAACCCTTTCGAAAAATTTAAATGGCATAGGGTAGTGAGTGATAGCTCATTTAAAAGGGGGTTTTATTCTCTATTCAACCGTGCCAAAAATTTTGAAATTTGCTTCATTACGTGTTGATTTATTAATGTTTAAAAATAACAAAACCTCACAAAATAGGAAAGCAACTAGACTAATAGTGACCTTCTAATGGCAAAAAGTCTTACTTCACGTCTGAACCAAAACCGAAATCATGCAGGACCGAATTTTAATTCTAAGGATGAGTGCGTTACGTTAATTTCTGTTATTCTGAAACAATTAGTCGAGAATTAATGAAGCAAATTTCAAATTTTTTTATACGGTTGAATAGAGAATAAAACCCTCTTTCAAATAAGCTATCACTCACCACCCCATGCCATTTAAATTTTTCGAAAGGGTTGCTCCCCTCCAGTAAGGGATGAAATTAAGGGTAAACTATTCATACAAAAATGTACATTGTAGAAATCAAAAATCGACGTGTCTCGGCGATTTTCCTAACAAGACTCCAGTAACGAGTTAGATAGGGGGGTAAGACTTATGGTGCTCACTGTATATATTTCCCGTTAAAATACAACCATCTGTCATAATGACAGATGACGAGGGGAAAGATACGTCCTACAGCAATGCAATACGTTCGAAAATGCTCTTATGTACATTTCATGTCTTACTACTGCAAAAAATGGAGCTCCGAAAAAGTACAATCAACGTTATTACCAGTTATTCCGAAATATTTTATGTTCAGACTCAAAAGATAAGCTTGATGCAGCAAAGAAATTATTAAATGAACAATGTCAACATCTTAACTTTCTTAAATATGTAGAGAACATTATTTGCGAATTCACGTAATTTGTTTTTGAACGGTTCAGACACAAATAATTATACGCAAGTAATGTTCCGATTACTGAAGGATATACCTTTAGAACGTACAAAGGCATTTAATCTTACCCAATTAGCTGATTTCATATGTACTGGATTTGAAAGATATTATCAACAACGGATTCTTGATATTGTCTTAAAACGTGAAAGTCAAGCAATTCAAGAGAGATATCTGCCAAAACAGTTAGTCGAAAATGCTAACCTAAAAGACATAGGAAATCATCAATATGAAGTTGTAAGTTTTTTTAAGCCTGATATCATTTATTACATAGATATGATAACATGCATGTGTAGTTGTCCCGTTGGATATAACGGGAATCACTGCAAACATCAGGTTGCAGTAATTTCAAAATTTGGCATTTTAAAGACAATAAATAATCTAACCCTCGAAAATAAAATATTGTTTTATCAAATTGCTACCGGCAAAGAACCGAAAAAGAAAATATTTTGTCCACTACAGTCACCTGGAACTATAGACCTGTTTTACACCAGAGTTAATTAGTCCCAATGAAGTGGATCGATCCTTCTACGATAGAACCAGAGCCACTGCAAGAAATTAACGCGGTAAAAAACTTGGCCTCTGATATTGAAGCAACAAAGACTGCATGGTTGGAATACAGTAATACCATTCTTACCAGCTGTCAATCGACATTTAGATAATTTCAAAAAATACACATCGTATAAGTACGAAGGAACAATTAAAATACAATCAGGCAACATTCATCCTAAAATTGTAAAAAGAGGAGTAAAAATTAGCGTTCAGCCAACAGCCGTTTCCAGGCGAAAAATTAAAATGTGTAAAAAGCTGTGTAAGAGCTCCGCATTCATTCAATTTATGTGTAGAGAACAATTGTGGTTTGGGATCCAACAAAGCCAAAAAGTAAATCGCGTGTGCTCACTTATAAGTATTCCTTATATTCATATATCATATAAATAAAGCATTATTATTAAATTTGGTATTTTCTTCGTATTATCGCACTTCGTATCCAAAATCTGAAATATCAGTTAAATTAAATCGAATAGAAAAAAAAAAACAATTTCGGCACTAAGAAACTTTTTAAATACTCCCTATTAAAATTTTATATTTTTTTGTTAACAAAACTATTAAAATTTACTTGATTGTATAAAATTTTACAATCTAAGACAATGTACCCTAACAATTGATATCGGGAAGTGTTTAAAAAGTTTCCTAATGCCAAAATTGATTTTTTATAATTCGATTGAATTTAACTGATATTTAACTTATTTGTTGATTATATGTAACAGTCTCAACATCCGACTAAATGCTATCGTGCACGTCACATATGAAGAAATGTTCGGCATAGCCGAATGGACATCTTGCCTGTTACATCCGAATATGCGTCCCGGGGTGGGTCTAGCCAACACAGGTATATCTGCTTTTCCATCCAAATGATTTCAAATTACAAAATTTCAAAGTGCATCAAACACTTAATGAAATGTGTGTTACTAGCTCTCCGGCTATATGGGTTCGACTCCCGCCAATGACAGGTTTTTTACAAAATCTACAAATATTTGTTTTCACATTTGAGGTCCGGGAATTGTATTAATAATTCGTAAGGGAATTTTTGAGATTTGTTTCCGAATTTTCAAATTTATTTAATAAATATTAATATACTAATAGTGCAAAATTTTCGAATTTCCGTGATTTACTTTCTATAATGATAAGAAAATACTATCAATATAAACTAGTTTTGATTATTGTTGGTAGAATAAATTATTAATCAAATAATTTGTTTTAATTTCCAGTTTAATATAGCTAAAAAAGTTAATGACCTACCAAAAATATAAATTCGCCAATTTGATTGTTTTTTTTTAAAACGATTTTTTGTTGTTGTAGGATTTGATGGCTTGCACATTTACACCGATTTTAATTTCTGTTAATATTAAATCCAGATTTCAATCCCAATAGGCTATCATGATGGTGGGTCATCAACGGATCCAAAGGGGGCAATTCCCCCCCCCCCCCTCCCCTTCTACTCGAGGCCTAGTAACCCTAGTAGTTGACGTCAATGACAAAAAAGTAATGAACACAGTAAATTGCCACGCCATGGCAAGATTTTGGACAAATTAACACCATCCACCGGCAAGGTTCAGGATCCGCTCCTGTGGTAGGTGGGGTCCCAATTATAAGCTAAATGGTCGAATCAACGGAACGTCTAGCTAGATAAATAATAATAACAATCTCTCCCCACACAAGCTCTGATTTCAAGGATTCACTTATAAGGTGGTGAATGGTAGGGAAGGCATTATTAAAATCATCAATTTAATTTTTTAATTTTTTCAAGTTAACGTCAATAGCTATTTGTGTATTAAGATCGGAAAGTGCTACTTTGCCGCTAGAGATAAAAAGTTGCCGTGCGACGCACTAGCGAATTTATCATAAGCGGCAAATAGCTATTTTGGATAGTGAACGTCGAAAAAAATATATGTTGGACATTCACCGTCAATATTAAGTTTATTTTAACTAAATTCCAAGAAATTTCAAATCGCTCATATAGGGGGTGTTCTAGAAATTTTTTTTCCAAAAATAAATTACCTTTATGTTTTTGAAGTCTGGATTCCTAAATATTCAGTAGCGTCATTGGAATTCTCTGAATTTTTGTAGCTATCCTGAGCTTCACCCACTTGTTGCCTTTGTGAAGTCCTTTAACAACCTAAAAAACAAAAATATTTTATATTAATGCAAAATATACATTATAATTTAACATACAAACAATATTATAATTCAAACTTAGAATAAAAACTTACTACTTTTACTTAGGTAATTTTTGTTAAAGAGACTTACATATTTTTAAATTGTTAATATTTTTTTCTGAAATCTATAACCAAATAGTGACAGCAAATAAGAAAATAGGAAGACCATGAAGAAGGTCGATTGTTGAAATGTGGGAAAAATTGGATGAAACTTGTCAGAAAAATAAATGTAAAAACAAATGGAAGAGTCCTATTTTCAACAACGGATGAATGAAGAAGCAGATCAAAACAATTTTTGAGTAGAATGGAAAATTGAAATATCAAAGAATAGGGTAACTGGAAGAAAAAGTATTAAAATCTAGATTTTGATAATAATCAAAAGGTCGCTTTGTTTTTTGCTTATAATCTAAATATAGCTGTTCGTTAATAAGAAATTTATATAAACTCAGCATCATTTTATATATATTTTTTTTTAATAAAAATTAGTTCTACACTTAAGATGTTTCTACATCAGATGCAGCTGATTCTTTAGTGTATTTTCTTTTATCTTTGCCCAAAGCAGCCAAACGTCCCTTGGCTATACGGTCAATAATTTTCTTCCTGTCTTTGTCCATTTTCAACTTAACAATAACGACCTGTAACAATAGAAAATATTGATTACTTATTTCTTTCATTGCATTTACAGTAAATGGAGTTTTTATTAATTTTCAGTGCCAAAGTTTTCACCAAAATGCAGCTGTAACAAAATAGTGATGCAAATTTTTTGAAAGAACTTCAAAAACAGCTTCACTATCAAGTCCTGAGACTGCAGTCTACGAATGGTTTGATTCATCATTAAAAAAATTAAGTGAGCATTACATTGGATCATAAGAAATAAAAAAAATGTGATCTCATTAATATATTAATTGTGCAAAATTTTAAAATTTCCGTGATTTACTTTCTATAATGACGAGAAAATACTATCAATATAAGCTAATTCTGATCATTGTTATGTAACGTTCCTGTTCTAATTCCGAAATATTAACAACATTAAACAATACTTTCCTTATACCCCTCGTATTTCACAAGCTGTTTTTGGAATTTTAAATAAATAATTTCGCTTTTGCGCAGTTTTACGATGGAATTGCCTATTTCATTGCGTTTTGGAATTATCAGACCTTTTTGATTTGAGACGTGATATTGAGTTGTCTTGTGTTTTGTCGGCGACTAAAGGTAATTTGGATATTTAGAATTGCTTGATAAGCGACTTTGCAGGTTTAACATCTCGCTTGTAGATTATTACGTGAGTTTCATGAATTGTTTTTAGTTTTGTTAACACTAACAGGTTTCTTTTTTTTTTTCGTTCATAGCCACGCTGTTGTGAAATGGCGGCCATATTAGTTTTTTGTTATCATCTAGATATTTGATTTTTCCATCTTTTAACAAGATAACTGAATGCTGTAGCGAATCTAATTAATCGCTGTAATGTTAATAATTGATTTATAATAAAAGTCATTATTTTGGTACTTTTTTTATGTAACACGTGTAAGAGATGGAAAAGTTTTTTTTTATAAGTGACTAACACCGTGTTTTTTTTTACTAAAGAGGATATCGGAAAGCGACATAAAGAGGATAGAGCACTACTAAAGAGGATAGAGCACTACTAAAGAGGATAAAGCGACATTAAGAGAATGTCGGGAAGTACTACACATGGTAGTTAAACAACCAGTAGATCCGAAATCGGGAGAACAACACACATGGTACCCAGTAGAATAGACAGTAGACTTGGAGAAAACTGCCACTAGAGTCAACCAGACATCTATACCACGTTCTTTTGGGGCTCTGGAATGAAAGACAACACCCCAGTTAAGTGCTGGAAAATCCTCGACCGTCCAACCGAAACAGATAAGTGTCAGCTTGACACCTGAGCATTTTTGCCTATATGTACATTGAGTTACGTTTTATTGTAAATTTAATGTAAATTCAGTACATGCCCACAAAGTCACTTTCCAGTTATTTAGTTTAATTTAATCAAATTTTTTTTTAACTTCAAATTGTTAGATAAATAATTTTTATTTCTAGTTTAATAACCCAAAACAAATTGATGAACTACCAAAAATATAAATTTGCTAATTTGACGAGTGTTTTAAAACGATTTTGCAGTAATTTAATTTTTGTTGATATTAAATCCAGATTTCAATCCCAATGGGCTATGAAGATGGTGGGTCATCGGCGAATCCAAAGGGGACAATAGTGCAAATTGCCAACCTCCCCTACTGTAGTGCCTGGGTTGCACTACATACATTCAATTCAAAACTACTTTATTGTCGAAGAAGTACATCTTATTGACAAAGCTTAATTTATAATTAGGCATTCCAAACAAAATGGCTGCCACTAACAGGCACATGATAGCTCCGAGCAATTACTACTAGTCTTCCCCCTTCCCCGCGCTAAATTTTGTAATAAACATCTACTCCACCCGAGGGGGGGAAATCTTTCGCCTATAATTGGCGTATTTAATCAGCGTTGCCAAGTTTGACAGCGCCAGTTCTGACACATATCAATTTTTGATTTGTATTTTACGAAAAATATAATTATTTATAGCGTTGTAAATGTATATTTAAGATTTATTATCTCTAATAATATGGTGAGAACATGCTTTATGTGTAAAATACCTGTTGAAAATGCTTCTTCAAGATTATATCATAAGTAAAAACACAACCAATTATCAGAGGCGGTGCATTAGGCAATCACCTTTAATTTGCAATTAAACTTTATTTTCTTATCGAAAAAGTAAAATTAAGAGGGAATAAACCACAACTAAGTTCGTCTTGATGCGTCTCATAATGTGATTATAGTAAAGGTTAATTACTTATTAACATAAAGAAAATTTAAACCTGTGACTTTATTTTATTATCACGTACTTTTAAAGTTTGTTATTTTTTTATTGTAGGTTTTCCTTTCTTAATATGATAAAAAGAAATAAATGGTTTCAAAATTTAGGAATTCAACAAGTGACCACCTGAATAACTTTTTTTATGCTAAAAAAGATTTTTATTACAGACCTCAGGGGAGGAAAATATTAAAGAAAAATGCAAATTCAGTCAATTTCGACAAAAGAAGTATAATAATCAATCCTGTCACTACTTCCTCACCATATTCATCTGCTACTAAAATACTAAAACAGCAAGTGAAGCAGATAAACTTAAGTTTTTTCAAAAAGAATGTTTAAGGAAAAAGGCAATGCCACTTTTTTGTTGACCATTTTTTTTAAACTGTAATTTATCGTTAAATTTTGTGCATTGTTTAAATTTTCATATTATGTACTTAATCAATTTTAGGTTTAAAAATGAACCTCAAAAATATGGAGTATCCCAAAAGAGCAAAGAAATGTTTTAAAATTTTTAAGAAAACTATTTAGAGCCAAAAACATAAAATAGTTATTTAGTTAGTCTTTGTGTCCGAAATATAAAGATATAGGTATAAATATTTGGATATTATGAGTGATTTTTATTTTATAAATAGAATGTAATAGGTTTCTAAATCGCCAATTAACTGTATTATGTAGTAATAAACTAAACAAGAATAGCACACATTATTCATGTTTTTTTTTAATTTTACTAAAAAACGTCCCAAAAAACATTGAATGTTTATTATTGGAGTTTATATCGCTCTGTTAAAACAATACTAGAACAACTTAAATAATGTGGATTTTGACTATTTTGAGTTATCCAGGTCATTATGATCTAAAAAAATGTATTTCTGGTGCTAAAATCAGGTATAAAAATATTTATTTATTTGAGCACAGTTGCAATATACATTTTAATTAATTTTTAAGTTAATACCTAGCAGGACATTCTAAAATGTCTTTTACCGTTTGATATGAGATTCATTATTATACATTTTTGTTGGTAAAATAGGATATTTTAAGATGTCCTACTGGTTTTCTGTAATTATCTGAAGTATAGAACAATACAAAGACTGTTTTAAGAAAATAGATATACCTTTAATTAAAAACACAATTAGTTAATTCAATTATACGATAACTTAACGCAGAAATCTTCTTAAAATGTGTTTTCACTAGAACAATATCTTACAAAATTATTATTAAAAAAACAGTCGGCACCTAATAACATTGACGATAGGTTTTTATAGTATATTTTATAAATCACAACGAACTACACAAAATGACATTATTAATAATTTAAGCAATAAAAAAGTTAAGTACCTACTTTTTTTCTAGCACAATGATATATGAATGTGCATTGTATGATATCTTATATTTTAGGAATAAAATAATATATTTTTTACAGGTTTCTGTTAACGATTCCAAGAACTTTTGATCTAACATTAAATTTTTATTCTCCAAAAGGTTACAGCTACGTAAGAAGAAAGTTGGGGTTGCTATATCTCGACTGTCAGCATTTTGACAGATCGTTGGAATGTCTAATTAGTGTGAACATTATTTGTTTAGTATGTACATCTCAAAAATACTTCCAAGATCAGTTAGAATACTCTAATCGCAAACTGTTGACAAATCCACTGTAAATCTATTTTTAATATTTCAATTATCATTTAAATGTTAAAGGAAATGGGTTTGAATATTAATGTTTAACTAAAATATTCCGAATAGTCTACATGTTGCTTTAAAATACCAAATAGCTTAAATAATGACTACCTTTCTTTTATTTATTCATAATGAAAATAAGCAACTGTTCAGTTAGACTTAAATGTGCAAAAACCTACTTTAGATAGAGTCGAAAAAAAAAAATGTGAGACATTCACCTTCAATATTAAGTCTGTTTTATCTAAATTTTAAGAAATGTCAAATCGCTCATAAACAGGGGTGTTCTAAAGACAATTTTTTCCAAAAATGAACTAAGTACCTTTATGTTTTGAAGTATGGATTCCTATATATTGAGTAGCTTCATTGGAATTATCTCCGATTTTTTGTAGCTATCTTTGAACTTCATCCACTTGTTGCCTTTGCAAAATCCTCTAACAACCTAAAAAACGAAAATATTTTATATTAAGGCAAAATATACATTATAATTTAACATACAAATATTATAATTCAAACTCTGAATAAAAACTTACTTTTACTCAGTAATTTCTGTGGAGATATGATGCCTACATATTTTTAAATGGTGAATTAATAGATTTTCCTGAAATCTATAACCAAATAGTGATAGCAAATAAGAATTAGGATACAAGGAATAAAAGAAAAATAGGAAGACCATGAAGAAGGTCGATCGTTGAAATGTGGGAAAAAATGGATGAAACTTGTCAGAAAAATAAATGTAGAAACAAACAGCGGATGAACGAAGCAGATCAAAACAATATTTGAGTACAATGGAAAATTAAACAGCCCAGATTGGGGCAACTAGAAGAAAAATATAACTTTACTGAAATCTAGATGTTGATAACAATCAAAATTTCGCCTTGTTTTTTTTTCTTGTAATCTAACTATAGCTGTTCGTTAATAAGAAATTCAAATAAACTCAACATAATTTTATATATTTTTTTTTATTAATAAAAATTAATTCTACACTTAAGATGTTTCTACAGCAGATGCAGCTGATTCTTCAGTGTATTTTCCTTTGTCTTTGCCCAAAGCAGCCAAACGTCCCTTGGCTCTGCGGTCAATAATCTTCTTCCTATCTTTGTCCATTTTCAACTTAACAATAACGACCTGTAACAAAATAAAATATGGATTACTTATTGCTTTCATTACATTTACAGTAAATGGAGTTTTTATTAATTTTCAGTGCCAAAGTTTTCACCAAAATGCAGCTGTAACAAAATAGTGATGCAAATTTTTTGAAAGAACTTCAAAAACGCCTCACTATTAAGTCCTAAGACTGCAGTCTACGAATGGTTTGATTCATCATTAAAAAGATTAAATTTGTATATTAGGGACATGTTTCAATAGATATAAGGTATTTAGGGAGTTAAAGAATAATTACAATTTCAGGGACAAAATTATATCACAAATATATTAAATTTATCCCAATACATATTAACAAATTCTATCGAGTAGTCTTTAAGAAAATTAATTATTTGCAAATCGTAGCTATTTCTCATGCTTTAATTTACCACCATAAAAATATCATTTTTCAAACGTGATGCAAATTGACATTTTCTTAAATAACTAATATATTTTTGTACAGAACGTTAGCTCTCAAACACTGGCTCCAGGAGAACGGTATAGAAAAACAATGTTGTTGAATAGAGAAAAATACATTTCTCAATTAATGGTAGAGGTGTAAACATGCATCCAATCACGACAGGTAAACGGGCGAATCGTGAGTTACTCTCCTTTTTATGCCGATGCAAAACAAATCTACAGAGTAAGTCAAAACTCACGATACATTATTTTATCATTTTATATCGCCACTTAAAATACATTAAATAAAGTTTCATTTGAGTTAAGCATTTCCTATACCAAAAGTTAATAATTTTGGAAGATTTTTAAATTAAAAAAAAAAAAAAAAATTCACCAATTACTTTAATTACTGGTTTAATAGGAAACAGACGGTTTTTTAATTGGTAAATGCAATTCAACCAGCTATAATTTATTACCGACTGAATAAGTTTTTGACCTTATGCAACTTTTAGAATCAGTGGAAAAATAAATAAAAATATCAAGCGAAAACTTTTATTTATTTTATTTAATTAGAAAAGTTTCTCTAAGGCCTCCAAAAACTATTAGGTGGTGTTCAATGGCCCAACTCGCATTTCTAAGCATTTCTTAAGTAACACTCGAAATACTTCTCTCATTCAGACTGAAGGTCATACTAAAAAACTGGCTAGACTTTTTAAAAACAAATGACATTAGTAATAATGAATTGTTAGGATTAAGGTTTCAAAGTTAACTTAAAAATATAATAAAATTAGAATAAAGTTGGTATGTATTATAATGGAGTGAGTCTATGATTAGTTGCTATTGGTGTTTATTTTTAACTGAATGTAAAAGTCCTATAGGAATTATCAAAAACTTATTCAGTCGATAATAAACTATAATATAATAATAATAACTCTCCCTAATTCACCCCCTTACGAGTGAATTTCAACCCCTGAAGCTGACTGAGCGACTTGTGTAATAATAAACTATAGGTAATGAAATGAAACTTTAATTAAAGATCTTTTAAATGGCGATATAAAAAAAAAGAGAGAAAATGATGTATTTGAGTTTTGACTTATTCTGTACAGATTTGTTTTGAATTGAAAAAGTAGTGCATCAGCAAAAATTTTTGACTAATATCTAAACCTTAAAGAAAATGGTTTTCAATAGTTTCTTTTGTAGTTAACAGGTCATTGAAAGCAATACGATTTTCATATAAATACCCTGGGCAATTCAAATATAAAATAAAACACAGGGTGTCCCATTTAAAAAACCTAACTTTGATATGTTTCACTTTCTTGGAAAACCTTCTTTAATTAAACTTATTTTGAAATCGTTGCCTTTTGTGATAAACATATCACTGTGAAAACAGATTAAAAAAAAATTAAATAGTTTTGGCCCTACAGACCGAGGCGTTACTGGTTGTCCACCTTGTGTATACAATTATGATAAGAACATTATTTATTTTTTAAAATTTGAGTTCCACTGAACTATTACCTCAGTATATCTATCAATCAGTATTGGCAATCTGAGGCGGCACGTTTGATCTTTAAAAGTAGAAATTTTAGTTGACACTTGACGTTTTCAGGATATGAAAAGTTTTCTTTACATGGACTTGGTATACCTGGTTAGTTGAATTTTTGTTCTGCTGCTTTTCAAATTCGTGTGTATGAGGGAGATGTGAGATACCTTTATAGACAACGGTTGAACAACTTAATTACTTTGAAGAAGAAAATAGATTAGATATCAGGGCAGTCTTCGCAAATGTAAGGACAGAACCGTTTTAAAAATTTTTTATATGTGTGTCGCATTTAATATGAAGACACCCCTATATTTTGGCTATCTAAATACATACAGATTTGAAATTTTGCACAGTCATATAGGGTGATGGTTCACATTTTTAAAGACACTCAATTGAAATTTAAATTTTAAACGCGGCCTACTGCGAATCCACAAACAGGGTCAATTTTCGATATTTTTCTTCGCGTTAGAGATATCAGAAAAAGTTGTTCCGAATATTATTCTAACCCCACATACCAAATTTTATGACAAAATTCGCATTTTTAGTTTTTTTTATTAGTTTAGTCAATACACAAAAAATTATTAAAAGTTGATTTTTTTTATTCGATAAACTAGTGTGCCATGATTGACATTAATGATTTCACAAGTATCAAATTATTCCTATCCATGGCACACTAGCTTATCGAATAAAAAAAATCAACTTTTAATAATTTTTTGTGTATTGACTAAACTAGTAAAAAAAACTAAAAATGCGAATTTTGTCATAAAATTTGGTATGTGGGGTTAGAATAATATTCGGAACAACTTTTTCTGATATTTCTAACGCGAAGAAAAATATCGAAAATTGACCCTGTTTGTGGAATCGCAGCAGGCAGAGTTTAAAATTTAAATTTCAGTTGAGTATCTTAAAAAATATGAACCATAACCCTGTATTACTGTGCGAAACTTCAAATCTGTACTTATTTAGATAGACAAAATATAGGGGTGTCTTCATCTTAATTGCGACACACTGTATGTGAAATGTTACTTTTTGGTGAAAAGTTTTATTACTTTTAGTTCAAAATATAATAACGTTAGTTTGTCAAGGGAAATATATAACACAAGGTTAGAGTAACAAAATAGAGGTATTGCTTTATTTCTTAAGAATTACTCTAATCTAAAACTTTTCTAGTATATTGTGTAAATTTATTCTATACGTTATTTAGGTATTGCAAAATCTATAGAAAAGTATGTAGTTTTAAATATAAAAATTTATAATAGAGACATATTTAGTGTAGATTTTTTTTACAAATATATACTCGGTGACTTGTTTTTGTGAACGAGTTCAAGTATGGCAGACGAAAATCGTTACTTTTTATTATGAATTAATTTGAATTTATTTAAAAATGGGAACTATATGTATATGGTTTTCGTAGTTTTTACACTTGTAATTAAAATATCAAAGTTACGTAAACTGGCCATTTACTACACACAGCAAATTCATAGACACAATACATATCACTATTTGACATTCTTATTAAATTCACTAATTTAAAATTGACTTTAAACTAAGTAACTACACACAGAACTGTTTGAAAGCAGCCATAAGGTATAATTTATTTATTGGATACTATAAAAAAATTAATAGTAGTTACATAAGTAACAAGAAATTTAAAAACAAAACAAACCTTTATATCTAGTGAACTTAATTTAGTACAGTCCTCAACTTTCTTAGGCTAACTTTAAAGATATCTATTTGGACCTCGCTAAGAAACTCATTGGTAAGTCATCATCTTGTTAAAAGGAAATATACTACTTGGATCTAAACTAAATAATTTTGTGTTATTTGGGATTCTTAGATTATTCTTTGCCACATTAAAATTTATATAGTTAATCAAATCACAATCTTTGTACTTAAAATTATTTAAAATAGAATACAAAATATATCACAACCTGCTGCTTTCTTCTTTGTAAAAGAGATTTAATCTTAAAACTATCGAGTATAGTTTTATACGAGATCTTGTAAGGGTACGAGTATTTTTTATGACATAAAGGTAACATAAAACTATTTTTTGTACTTTTTCTATATGATCAATATGTGTGGCTTCCAAGGGCATCCATATTTGTAAAACATACTCAAGATGGGGTCTTACTAAGGCATTATATAATCTGATTTTGGTGGTAATCCTAAAAATTTTTGTATTTCTGATTTAAAAACTCAAAGCTTTTATTGAATTTTTAGTTATGTGTAAGAAATGGTTATTGAACTTCAAATTAGACTGAAAGACAACTCCCAAATCCTTTACCTCATATTCACGATTTAATGTGACATCACAAGTCTTGTGTCTAATGTAAAAAATTAAGATGCTACGGATCCTTACAACTTAAAATATGCATATGTTTGTAAGTGTTAAATAGACGGATAAAAAGTGTTGATTTTTATTTACAACTATAATAAGAACCTATTAAAAAGGTTAAGAGCAATAGAACATTTCAACAAATTTCTATAAGTACACATATTTTTGATATCTGATAATCAATAAACAATATATTTTTTGGAGTAGCAACAGGTTTATTAATACACAACTATTATTTTGTTACAAATACTTATATTATAATATTTATAATTTACATAATAGTTGATATAAGTCCTTTAAAAATAATATATTTTGATTTAATTGTTGAATTTATACATGAGCAATTTTCCTTATAGTGTTGTTTACATTTTGCAGAGAAATATTGTATTCTGCTTTTAGCTGATAAATCATGTACATGTAAATGGGTTGAATGTAGACAATGTTAATGTTTTTGCTACTACTGCTGGCTAGGAATGCTGGGCTGGGACACCAACAAAAAAAAGGAAGCACAAAGCACTAGATCAGTTTCTATCACTTACACACTTACAATTTACAACTATTCAAGTAACTAGCATGTTGGAAAATACTTCACGAAAACATATTAAACATAAATCAGTCGAATGCAATGTATTTTCTTTTATAACACACCTTTTTAGTTTGATTACTTCTAATGCTCTATTCCATATTTATTCCAATGTCCTCAAATAAAACGACCAGTAATACGTAACAATAAGGATAAAACACACACTGAAGTGTATTTGTGGTATTTTTGATCTAAATCCACTATCAAAATAACAAATTTTCCGTTTTTAAGCTGCGGATGTATTACAAAAACTACTTCGATAAAATGTAAACAAAAGTTTGTATTTGTGTAAGAAATATGGGTTGCCTGCACATGGTAGCAAGCTTTTAACAGGATTTATGACAAGTGATAGATTATATCCCAAAAACGTCAGCGCAGTAAAAGCTGCGCGTCATTTTCCCGCCCAGGGAGTGTCATAGGCCTGATTCTACAGAACATCTATACATTCATTCTCCCCCTCTAAATTCCTAAACCATTGTCATTGAATTTGGCATGTCTAGTTTTTTATTTAAATATTGTCAACAGGTCGTGAGTAGTAGTTTGTGCAACAAAAGTGGATATGGACAATCCACTCGAGTTGTAAAAAATAACTAATTTAAAAATAATTTATAACTTTTACTAATTTATAGAACAAAATAAACTTGAAAAAAAAAAAAAAAATTATTCAAATAGTCTATCGACACACTTTTTTTTAATATTCAAAATTGATTTTACACGGTTTTATTAAAATTTATGATTTTTTTTTGTAAATACAGATGAATATCTTGTGAAATGCTTATCATTTATCGATTCTTCACAAGAATCAATCATTTATAAATATATGAAATTTCAATAACTAAAAAATATACTCAAAATTAGTTTGACAGAATTGTCACTTATTTAAAATTTACCAAAGTAATAGTCATCTGGTCACCAAATATGAACTGTGATTGGTGGATTTCATATTTGTGCAGTGTGCTTACTACGTAGAATGGATATGAAAAATAATCCTTCAACTGAACGGAATGGCATACTTTTTCATTTTGTAGTCTGTGAGTAGAATAGCTAATATCCACGTGAGTATAGAAAATAGCTTATTTGTAAGAGCAGAAAGTAGCACTTTGGCAGTTGAGACAGAAAGTTGCCGCACAACGCGTTAGTGGAGAGCAGCAATCTGTCAAAGAACTTTCTGCTCCAATAACACACAAGATTTTTTTCTACGATCACATCAAAATTAAATAAATAATTTAAATTTTTTAGAAATAAGTTAACTTCTTTCATTATAATATTGTAAGTTTATTTGACATAAGTACTGTTGGATGATTTAAAATATTAGGAAATCAATTAAAATATTTTAGATTGGTCTACATTGTTTTAAAATACCGATTAGCTTTCATTTAATTAAAATGACAATAGACAAGTGTGTGCCAAAGTTACGTGTGCGCCCATAAAGTCAAATTATGACAGTTTGAAGGGAACGTCTCCTTTCTAGTTAGATTTGAATGTGCAAAAGCCTACTTCGGATAGTGATTGTAGAAAACAGTAATTTAAAGGTATCTATGTAACCAAAATATTTTTAAAACAATCTTGAAAATAATAGAAATAAAAAGTTAATGAATATCTATAACTTCCTGGGAGGACTGTTATAAATTGAAAAGCAACATTATAACACTTACCAATTGGTCTATTGCTAACGGTATGTCTCTGAATACTGATAAATGTTACTCAATTACTTTTATTAGAAATAAAACTGCCATCGTTTTCAATTATTCACTTAATAATGTACCCATGAACAGAGTTGTTACTATCAAGGATCTGGGTATCAGGTTCGATAGTCAGCTGACATTTACTGAACATATCAATACCATTACATAAAGCTATTTTAGTGGTTTATAATGCTTTGGTATGTTTGTTACTGCAATATGCTTCTATAGTCTGAATGCCCTATTACGCAGTTCATATCTTAGCATTGACACAACACAAATTTTTGAGATATGCAGCACATAAAATGCACTTACAGGTTGGCAATTACAGTTATGAGGAAGTTATGAATACACTTAACTTTTTAACATTAGAAAACCATAGAACATTTATGGAAATGACTTTGTTATACAAACTATTGTCAGGGGATATTTGTTGACCAAAACTTCTGTTCCTTTTCTCACTTAGGATTCAGTATAGGACCACTCGTAACCACAGTTTGTTGGCTGTTCCTTTTCATTAGGTACACAAATTATGGATATCACACTCCTATCTCCCGCTTATCAAGAACAGCCAATATGCTTGGTGAACAGGGCATTGATTTTATAGGTCCTTCCCTAAGCACCTTTAAAGCTAAGTTGAGGTCAAAGCTTTAAAAATGTGATGTGATTCGATAATAAATGTATTTATTGTTTGTATCTATGTAGGTTAAATACCACTGTATTATTTTACTACAAAGGGGTTTTCCTGTTAAATAAATAAAAATACAAAGTATTGATTATAAATTTTAAAAATACTTTTTTTAGCTGATATTAACAAATAGTATTCTTTGATCTGTGTAAGGGGTCGCGAAGCAACGTTTGATATAGGTAGATCATGTTATTTTAACTAATCAAAATTTAAAAAAAAATGGTAAAAAATTCCTATAATTTGTATTTAAATAAATAATAAATGTATAATTTACTATGAATTCAAAAATAGATATAGGTAGGTACCTTCTTATTTATTAAAAAACCAGACAATGTACCAAAATGTCAAAATATCTGTTTAAAAATGTACAATTTTTGAGATTTTAACATTTCTAACTTAATTGTGGATAATTTTTATTTTGTTGTTTTCAATTTCATGACAAGGAACTACTCTACTTTCTAGAAGTACGAAAAATATTTTGAAATTAGTGTCCCTCAAGTCTAACATAACCACACTAGTACTTTACTGTAAACTTTTCACTAAAATATCCTACTTACTTTGGAAGGGTGAATTCCTACATATACACTAGCTCCATTCGCTTTTTCTCTCTGAATTCGTTCAATATATATAACGAATTTTTTCCTGTATACTTGAACAACTTTACCTACTTGTTGGCCTTTATAATGACCCCTCACAACCTAAAACAACAAAATAGCATTGTAGAAGCAATACACTATAAATTTAACAAAAAACAGTTTTAATTCCAATTTAGAATAAAAACTTACTTGTACTTCGTCATCTTTGCGGATGGGCATAGTGCTTACATTGTATTTTTGTCTAAGTTCTTTTGAAAGAGGTGCGGACATCAAAGTCCTTCTGATGTGAGAAGGGGCAGTGAAATGCCGTTTCCTATTTTTGCTTCTAGAAGCAGTCACTAATTTGTTGAACTTCATTTTTAATGCCCTATAAAACAACACGTTAGTAAACCTATAGGTTATGTTTCCAAAAGTATGCTAAAAATATCAAGAACTGTAAAAATGCTGAAATATATGTTGACGTGTGAATAAATAAAGGTTTTCTGAAATCCATAATCAAATGATTTTAGTTTTAAATCCATTAAAATTGGTAGATGGAAAGAGATTTAAAGTAAAGTAAAAACTTACGACAACAGCAGCACTATTTTTTGACAGAAAAGAAACCAGAAGAAACACTGAAGCAGTGTTGCCAACAGTGTTGCCACACCAATTAATTTTTTCGTAATAAAATTTTGAACCAAAAGGTAATAAAATCGTAATAGATAATATTTTATAGTAACATAAATGTACCAGAACTATTATTAAATACATTTAACAATAAAACTTTAATATTATTTAGTTGAGAGAAAATTATTTCTGCTGCTGCAAAAGAATGGGGTAATAACAATAAACCACAAATTATTTTTTTTAAATTTTAAACATTTGGTTCATCCAGTGAATATTTTTATTTTAAGGCTGTATGTCACGATACTAAATTAAGTACTAAATTTAGAACTAAATTAATGCATTTTTTAAGTACTAAAAAATTTACGTTGCAAACAGCAAATTTAGTACTAAATTTAGTACTAAAAAAAGTCATTAATTAATTAGAACTTGTTCTATTTTCTACTAAATTTAGTACTAAAAGTGCGTCGAAATGTTGCGCAGAAGTTTTTCACAGAAAAAATTGACATGACGGTATTTTCTGTACCATTTTGTTTTTAATTAGCGACAATTTTGCATTATCGACTTGAATAAAGTTCGCTTGTTTGATTTTGTAGATTTTATTGGTTTTTTCGTGGTTCATAAAAAAAAAGTCTATTCAGATTTCATTTACGCCGCGTCAAAACAATTTCTCCCATCCAGCAACAGCTCACGTGACATTTTTTTTGCGCTTCTATAGGCTTGACAAAATAAGCGATACGCCACCTACAGTTTTAATTTGAAACTTGAAACCTTCCAGTGGACCATTAATGTTTTGTTTACTCATGTGATTCAAGCATAATGGTTATGTTGTAGTTGACGGGTCTAGAAATGCGCTCGTTCACACCACTCTGCACTGACGTCTAGAATTTGAATTTGCACAAGCCACGTTGCCAAATCTCCACTTTCATTTCAGCTTGTTTTATTTTATAGTTTATTTTTCAACCAAATTGTAACCTCTGTACATTAAAATGTATGATAAATAAATATAAAGATTTATATTATATTTTGAAATAACAATTCTGTTTTGTTTTATAAGACAGTTTTGATAAATTTTAGATTTAAATTTTGTAATTATCACTATTGAAAGGCATTATTCACATTAAAAAACGATCGTATTACTTGAAAATCTTCAGAACATTTTTTTATTTTTATGGGTTTTTTAATCGATGTAAAAATTGGTAAATTAAGTAACATAGTTATTTCAATCTGCTTATTCCCTGGTTCCAAATAATTAAATATAACCTGGCAACTCCGTAACGATTCCGACTGGCAGCACTAGCCGGAACAGGAATGGTGCGCACTGGCCCAATTCCAGACCTTTCAACTGCAACATAACCAGCATAATATAGGTTAATCTTACGGTTTCTGTTTGTATATGGTGTTTTAAAGACGTTTAATTGATAAAATTATTGTTTATTTTATCAAAATGAACCATCACTGTTGTGTTCCCATGTGTTCCTCTTGGGTAAAACTAAATAAAGAACTTAGTTTTCATCATAGCCCTCAGAAGGTCTAGATACCGCATCGTAAAAACATTTTGACCCCCCATATGATGGGCGCCATGATAAATAAATGTCAATAAATTTTAAGTTGGCGCTTCTGATAAGACAGAATCGGCACAAGTTTAGTAATAAGCGTAAGATCGGCGTTCGACGTACATAATCGATTTTATTATCTGTTGTGTTGTTTATTTTGTTCTTCTAGTAAAGGTTTTATTTCAAACATTATTTTTTAGTTTAGTCGTTTAGTGTTTTATTTTAATAAAAAACATTTGTGGTTTGGTGTTAAATTTTTACAGGATTTTCAAAATCTCTTGTTGTTTTGTACGTGAATGTAACAATGCATCCAACGGTAGAAGATACAAGGAAGGAATAACATTTCATGTGTAAGTTTTCAAAAATATTTTTATATTTTCAAAATCAAATAATTTGTGTTTTGTTGTAGCATACCAAAAAATTTTAGGAAAGAATAACTGATAGCCATAGGAAGACCATTGAATCATTTTGTGACTTTAGTATAAGCCCAGAAAATTTGGGGATACTAGCTGAAACGGCAAATGTGTTATTGGCTCCTTGTTAGTGACCTATTGTACAATTTTTCCAACACACGTTCCATGATCCTTTGAACTTGGCTGCACTGTACTGATGAAGACCAATAGTCAGAAAAACGTGTCGACCGTTACTTCTTTTTTACTTTTTTTTATTCGGAAAATGTCCACTATTAATACCTTGATACAATAATATTAGTTCCGTTCTAAGTAGGTACATATTATAGTTTGTATGTTTTATGCTTTATTTTATTACATGTAATAAATGATAGGAAATATACTTTTATAGTAAATAAATTGATTAAAGCAATATGTAAGAATAAGTTTATCTAAGGATTAAATTGTTAAAGCAATTTTTCATATCCATTGTTTATTAATTTGTTTCATTTAATTCTTTCTTATTGAGTAAGTTATTTCATATAAATATGCGATAAAATGTAATATTTTCTTTTAAATAGGTATATATTATGTTTGTATAAAATATTGTTCAGTTAATAAAAACAGAAATATTTTGTCTTTTATTCAAAAGAAGATTGTAAATTTTTCAAAATATATTTACCTACCCCAAAAAAGATTAATAAAACCAGTTAGTCATATACACATTTTCTATATATTTATAGAGGTACTTTTTAAATAACTTTCAATACATTCGAAATCTGTGGTTTTATTAAACTCAATGTAACAAATAATAATAGGTATTCTCAAAAATATTTAAAAATAAAATCGAGATGGGACTCTTGTATAATTTAGTGACTATTCGCCTATAGTTAGTGCACTGCTGTATGTCCCTGTGTTTTCTACATTAGAACAATACTGCTTCTCCACTCTAGCAGTATTTTTTACATCTCACAAGATTATATTTATTAAAAAACCAAGGAATTGTTTTGGGCCTATTGCTGTGCCCTTTTCCAACATTCCCAAAGTTTTTTTTTACTTTCTGCTGATTGGATCTCCGATAGCAACAACTCCATTTGTTGTTCCACTAGTTTTTTATCAAATTTTTAAAATAACTTATATATATTTATCTTTTGCAACGACTTTGCTTACCTGCTTCATAATCTCTTCCCTATGCCCCAATTTCTCTAACAGGTGAGATCTTATACTCGCTCTATTAAATCAAATTATCATTATAGTTTATTTGAAAATGTTTGGTAGCACAGTTTTTATGGCAAAGGTCCATATTTTTATATAATTTTGCTATTATTCATTTTCAAATAAACTATAGGAATAGGAGTAATCTATTAGTTTTTCTAAAAATACCTTGTTACCGATGTAAGTATATCTTTCCCTAGTTAAAAAATTCAAGTTTTTATTTTCATAATATAAATAAATGACCGGTTAACAATCACATTCTTTTAAATAGTACATTTGACATTGAAGTAGGTATTTTCTCCATATTGCCAAACAGGAACAGATGGTTTACTTGTAATTTGAATTATATTACATAAATCTCACTGAATTTCTCTATAATTTTCATAGCAATATGTACACAAAACATTTATCCAATAATATATATATAACCATGTAAAAATAACATTTCAAGAACGAGAAAATTTATAAAACCGGTCCTGTCTGAACAGATCTAGGAAAATCAAATAGGTTTGTCAAAGATTTGTTCTTAATTTGAAATTAGAAATTGTGCATCTCACTCACGTATAACTAATAACAAAGTGCAGACTATCGGTGTTCACGTATTACAGAACACACAAACTAAAAATCAGTGTAGCCAAAACATAAATTTACCTAACATGGCGACAAGCTTGAATGGGGTCATTTTTTAGTATTGACAGCATACGCCAAGCGGTATCTAGACTTTCTGAGGGCTATGGTTTTCATACATTTCCCACATTTTTAATTTTTGGTCCCTTCTAAATACTTCATATAGTCAACAATACTAAGCCTAATTTCCACATACTTTAATTTTCTTTTACTATACGGAGAATGGTCGCACTGCGCAGCTTTCTGAGTGCCTTTTAAAAGGAGATAGAAAACTCCGCCATTTTGAACCCTTATTACGTGTTGCCTACATCTTGGCGCAATATTTTTAATAGGTGCGTTTTAATCATCCGCTTCTGCTTCGGAATTGTCGGTTTTCTTGTTTTAATCTGACAGGTTAAAACGACTAAACCGACAATTCCGGAAGCAGAAGCGGATGATTAAAACGCACCTGATATTTTGCTTGCTGCTGTCAGTGTCAGTGAATATTATTTTTGAAGTCACAGTTTACTGCTAAAGAATCAGTTAGCTCACTCGGACCAGTTGAAAGTTTCAAAATAACATCCACTCCAGGGATACAAATTCAGGATACGCAGAAGACTGCTGTTTTATTATAGGCGGTTGTCATATATTGTATTATCCGAGTTGCACAGTGCATAAACTAAAACATTGAGATCAAAAGTGCCGACGCAGAGTGAGCGATCTGATTCTTTAGCTGTAAACTGTGTCACAGGGTTCAAAATGGCCGCGCCCTATGTTGGGCGTGTCGGACCTATCTCTTGCCTCGTATAGTAATCAAAGTATGTGGTCGTTAGTCATTCACGCAAATATTTTTTGTCAGAGTCGAATTCAGTTCAATTTGGATAATTATAAACGGCGTTTTGGTAGCATTCACCGTGTTGGTTAGTTTGGACATTTTGTATGTTTGATTGATTATAATTCATTATATTATAGTTTAGATATATATGTCAAAAGGCAGTTTTGAGGACGAAAAGTAGTAACTAATGGCAGATTCGAGGACATTTGGTGCTTATGAGGTCGGTCCTCATAAGATTTTATGTATTATGGCATGTTTGGAGACTGTCCTCATAAGATTACATGTAGATAGGTTGTTTTAAGGACATTATGCTGTTTGGCGTTTTTGAGGACAATAAATAAAAAATTTACCTTAATCCAAGGTTTTGTGGTTAAAAAATGCGAATATTATACAAACTTCGTATTTGAAGTGAGGTACTTAAATATTGATTGGCATA